ATCTTGGAGAATCTTGGAGGGCCAGAGGGCTAAAACGAGCCCTTTGGCCAGCCATCGGTTGGAGATGGCCTAATATCTTGGGGAATCTTGGAGGGCCAGAGGGCTCAAACAAGCCCTCTGGCCAGCCCTCGGTTAGAGATGGCCTAAGAGCAAGACGTGGGGTTGAAGGCTTTTTTTAGGACAGTCAGTAATCACCATGCAACTACTGACACAGTTCCACTTTTTCATTTTTTTCTCTTTTAAGATGATTCATGTACTAGTATGTAACTCTTGCATGTGTTCAATTTCACATCTCACTGGTTGTCAACAATCACAAACTCTCTCGTTGTCATTTCTGTGATTTAGTAACGCGTTTGTATATAAATACGACCTAAGTTTCTTTTCTTCATCTTCTCCATAAGTGCCATGAGTGCCATGGATTTGCTTTCCACTACTTTACCTCCCATAGCATTAAGCTTAGCTTTAATCATTAATAATCGCATGCCATGAATAAAACGTAGATTATGCAAGTTCTAATCTAGTCAAATTTTTATTTTATTTTTAAAATTTCATAATAGCAAAAGCAATGTCTCCTTACATAATATGGATTCCATAAACATGCATTCATGATCTGGATATATGAATGAGTCAAATTACTTATCCCTCGGTCTATTACTGAACTAGCTCTTCACGGATTGTGAAAGGTGTTCCATTAGAAATATTCTTGTTATTGCTTCGACTTGTATTTAAGCAATTTGTGAAGTTCTAGTAGTTTGTAGTTAAAAACATGAGAACTTTAACGAAAAGCTTCCGGTACTGTTCACTTTAACGAAAAACCACATTTTTACACTAAAAAGTCAATCCTGATACTATTCATTTTACCCTTTATTTTGTCCTTATCGTTAAAACTCAAAGTTTTCAAGCCCTTTTCATTAGTTTTCCTTAAAAACATATACATCAAATATTTCAGAGTAGTACCGTCACTACCATGACATCAGATTAGAGGCCAAACAACCATTAATCGCGTGCTTTATGTCTGCAATAATACCGTTGGATATGGCACATATGTAGTATGCGTACACGTAATCAGATACTTCCAGTCACTCTAACTCACTCTTCATGTGAATAGGGAGATCGGAATATATTTCTAGTTTACAAAGAAGCTGTTGGGTAGGGAAGTGTAGATTCAATGTGTGTATTATTAATGCTGTTGAATAAATAATTTTTCAATGTAAAGTAATGCATTTAATATTCCAGATGCCTAAATGTCATTCGATAGTTATTTGGATTTACTATGATGTGATATGGTGGTATTAAAAATTAGGGATAAGAAATGTGTTTGGAAGAGTCATCTTAAACATGTTACGTCCAAATTTATTAAGAGAAGACGAGAGAATTACCGTCGGATAGTGAATGCTCGTGCGATTTCCAAATAACACCAGTTTCATTGTGCATTAACTCTAATCTGAGCATCTCTTCGACCGATAATCAGTTTCATTCATATAAGTCCAATACACGTAAGTTCTTCATGTGCTGGCACGCCATGGCCAAACTTGCAGCTCACTGGGAATCAGTTGTTGTGCTAGGATAACACCAAACCAATTGGAACCAACTTAAGCTAACCCACAAGAAATATATCAAATGGAACGCAAGAACAAAATATAAAAGACACCAAGATTTTAACGAGGTTCCTCAACAGTTAGTGTAACTGGAGTACGTCATCGGAGCAGTAGGAGCTCACCTAATAATCCACTATCAACCAAATGAGAGTTTACAAAGTGTTGGTAATCTCACAACCCAAAACCTCAATACACCAAATAACTCTCACTCACAAAATAAAAAAATAGATAAGAAAATATAATGAATAATTTCCTCTATATACAAAGTTCAAAGCTAATACAACAATTATAACTTAGGAAAACTAATGAAAAAGGGCTTGAAAACTTTGAGTTTTAATGATAAGAACAAAATAAAAGGTAAAATGAATAGTACCATATTTGACTTTTTAGTGTAAAAATGTGATTTTTCGTTAAAGTGAACAGTACCACGGTCTTTTCGTTAAAATTCCTTTATAACTTTGATGGAGTGATAGCTAACCAATGAGAGGGCACTTTCTTCTTCTCTTCAAAGTGGGCTGCAGCACTCTTTTCTTTTTTCTTTTTCTGCTGCTATGCGGCTGCCTTGCTACCATCAGAAGCAGCAATTGCTGCCTAATAAAAACCCTAAGCCACCCGTGACTTTCACATGGGCCAAAGAAGAAAGGCCCTTTAAATGGGCTATTGGGTCAATAGGCGGCCCACTACAATTTGGCCATTAATTCAACATCAGTTTCCTTTCATATTAGTTCTAGCGGTTGCCACAGTAATTACATTGGTAATTGCTGGCACCAACCTGTATTTTCCTTTTGCAATAACCATAAGTCAAAACTGCAGTTTTGTAAGCTTGCTCTTGTGATTCTGTAACACGCAGGGGACATGTATCTAAACCAGCTGCAACATATCGGACTGTGTGTGGAGGCTTGGCGTGGAAGGTTGGTTCACAGGGTAATTACTTTATGCTAGAAGTTTAATCCTAATGCGCATTTTGCAATAGTTCTTAGCAGTGGAGCCTTATCAATTTGGGTCTATTATATGGTCTACCTTTATATATAATTTCTTTTTCTGTTATCAATAAAATTTTCCTTTGTACCACCGAATTTAGAAAAAAAAATGATTCACCCCCACATGCCTCCTTGAAATTCCTAAGAATTATATTAGAACACCACTTTACTTAATACAAAAAAATAGTTAATACCACGATCTAGTAGATTGTGGTCCTAAGTTCGAATCTTGTAAACTGCTGATCTTGAATAACTGTTCTTTATTATCCTTTCACATTTGGATCTTTTCTCTTATCAGTTTTGTTTATTGTATAGTAGTTGTTACCATGCTACCTCTCAGATGCTTCCACATTTCAACCTAAGATAATGCATTATCGATAGTTGAATAGCTGTAACCACCACTAGGAAGTCATTGTTATTGTCTATTTGATAGTCTTTGTCCTTTTGTGTTCGTTTCTTTCCTCTTTTCCTCTCTCTTTCACTACACCTTCCTGGCTGGCGGTATGTCATTTCTCAAGTCTATATGCAAACATTATAGTATTACAAACTTTCATTTTTGTGAACTGAAGAAGCTTGACTTGGGTTTAAGTATTTCATTATCATTCGTTCGGCAACACAAACACAACCACTGCCATTTTTTTCATACATAGATATATTCTCTATACACACTTTTTGTTATACTGAGTGTAGCTTATATTGAAGTCACCGTTTACAGTAGGTATATTGATATCATAGACAAGAACCACTGGGACTTGGAGTTGAATGAAGCAGCGGCGAAGTTAGGAATTGTCGGGAGAGGCGTCAAATTTATAAAGGTAAAATGTTCTAAAAAAATGTAGGCATCCAAATTCTTTTAGATATTAGACAATATTAATGTCATTCATAATTTATCAACACAAATAAGTTACAATTGTTGTTGGCGAGGTTTTATGTTATGAAAACATTGCATATATAGACTCATTATTACTAGAAGTAAAAACATCTTTCTCATTACAAACAATAAACAACCAAACTATCAGTCAACCATGATCTCCTATTTTGTTATGCAATGATATTTTTATTCATAACAGAAAATGCTTTCTCTCCCAAGCGGTCACAACCGATAACACAAAAGCCAATATAAAAATGCACAGGGTCAGACGCCCTATTGTTGTAGTGTAGCTGCTACCACTGTAAATCCTTCACTGTATTATTTATTTTTGGCGTGAATTAATTTCAATGTGTGTTTTTATTAATGCTTTTGAATAAACAAATTTTCTGTAATAGTTAGCCTCCTCTGCTTCTTTGCTGTGACCTTCTAGCTATTGTCAACTTTAGAACACGAGCGGAGCAACAATGTGTAGTGAAGATGTAGATTACACAAGTTCAAATCTAGTCAATATTTTTTATTTTCATAAGCAATTTGTGGAGTTTTAGTAGTTTTGTTGCTAAAAGCAAATATATCAAAGATTTCATAGTACCGTTACTACCGTGACATCAAATTAAAAACCAAACAACTATATTAATTGCTCCTTTGTCGTTACAATTGTTGTGTTTGGCTCATATACTTATGAGTTATTAGTTGGCAACAATTTTGATAGTGTAACTTTCTGAATGCTACAGGGAAATGGCAGCAGCTATTTGTGACTTTGTATTTGGCTTTACAGGGAAATGGCAACAGCTATTTGTGACTTTGTGTTTGGCTTTCGGTTGTGGCATGGAAGTCTTGTTTCAAGAAAAGACATGGTGTCTGCCACAAGCAAAGTTGGAAGCAAGCAAGTCTTGACTTTGTGTTTGCTTGCACGCAACTGTGCATGTTTTATTTTCTATGCATTAAATGACAAATAGAGAAAAAGTTGTACTCTATAAGGTAGGTATAGAAAAGGGTGTTGCCATGTGAACTTAAGATTTTCTTGGTCTTTGGTTGTTGGCATAATTGTTGGTGCATAACTTTAAGTAAAGGAAATAGTTATGCTTTGATCCGGAGGAACACGTAGGAAAGCAAATAGAGAGTAAGAGTGAGAAACTCTTGTGGGGTAGAGTGAGGCTCTTGGGAAAATTATGTAAGTGTACAAGGGATTGGGTTTGGGTTATGTCGATTTAACTTAAATGTATCTTGTACTAATTATTCTCATAATGAAGAGCAATATTTCTTCAGGAACATAGGCAGGGTTTTGCCGAACCTTGTAGTTCTCTCTGTACCTTTATTTCTTGTATTTTAAACTGTTTAACTGTGAGTTTGTATTTTGGTGGGATACTCTGAATTTGGTTTTGCACTGACCGGCCAAAGCACAAGAGGTAATTACACTTAACCAGAAATATTTCCCGTCGCCCTACTCATTTTTCGTGTGAATAGGAAGATCGGGATATATTTCCGGCTTACAAAGAAGTTGTTGGTAGGCAAGAGTAGATTCAATAGAGTACTTTTGACCCAGTCCCCTCATGCAAAGCTGCTAAACCATCATTTCTTAGCATTTTCTGGGGTCAAAACCAAACCAAAGTATGCAGATTCGTTTCACACTGAAACTTCATATGTCCATATCTGGAAGAATATTTTATATTTTGAAGTCAATTTTGCCTGCCAGAAAATTATTTTGGTTGAATTTCCTAGAAGATGTGAAAACACATAAACCATAATTTTCTTTGTCCTCATTGACTTCGTATCGATCAGACCAGTTTTTTCGGTGATTCAATTTATAGATCAATCGAGTATTTCTGTTCTTACATTACTCTTAATCTTAGCTGCTCGATCATCGCTGACCAGGTGCGATCGATTAATGGCTTCTTCTTCTTCTTCTTCTTCTTCTGGCCTTGGTTGGAAATACGATGTGTTCATCAATTTCAGAGGGGAAGACACTCGCAAGGGCTTCGTCAGCCATCTCTACAACGCTCTGGCTAAGAAACCAATCAACGCCTTCATTGATGCCGAGAAGCTCAGAAAAGGCGACCACCTTTCCCAGCTCCTAACAGCGATTCGAGAGTCGAGGATTTCGATTGTAGTTTTCTCTCAAGACTATGCTTCTTCCACTTGGTGCTTGAAAGAACTTGTGCAAATCCTGGAATGCAAGGATACCAATAACCAGATTGTACTCCCCATTTTCTATGAAGTTGATCCGTCTGATGTTCGTAAACTCAAGAGAAAATTCGCCGAAGCTTTTGCTCAGCACGATCCTGATTCTAACGCCAAAATGGAAGAGGTTCAGAGCTGGAGATCCGCTCTTACGACTGCCACCGATTTAACCGGCTGGGATTCGCGAAACTATGAGTAAATTCTAATTTGTTTTAGTTTCCTTTTAATTTTTGGGATTTTTGTAACGTTTAGGGTAATTTGACAAATATTTAGATTTTAGTTTTAATTTCTATTTTTTTTGGAAACTAACAGATGAAAAAGACCCATTAATTATTATTTGGAGTTGTTGTTATATTGTTTTTAAAATTTGACAGGAATGATGCAGTGCTTATTGAGGAAATTGTAGAAGATGTTTATTCGAGATTGATCAAAATCTCATCAACATCAAGCAAAGATAATGGCTTGGTTGACATGGATTCTCACATGCATGAAATGCTTTCATTATTATATCCCTCCGAAGGTGAAACGAATAATGTTCGCGTTGTTGGAATATGGGGTATGGGTGGTTTAGGCAAAACAACCATCGCTAATGCTGTTTATGATAAAATCGCTTGTCGATTTGAAGCTTGTTGCTTTCTTAAAAATGTCAAGGAGGGTTTCATGAGGCACGGCGAACTACATATGCAGACACAACTTCTATCTAGTATCTCGGACAACAAGGTGGGGAGCTCTGACATATCGAGAAGAGGTTTTCAGGTGATGTTAAGAAGCCTTGGTCAGAGAAAAGTTCTTATTGTTGTTGATGATGTGGAAAAATTAGAACAAATTGAAGCTTTACTTGGAGAGCGACAATGCTTTGGTGGTGGAAGTAGGATTATTATCACAAGTAGAGATTCGCAGTTACTAAGCATAGCTGATGTGATATATAATCCCAAGACCTTGAGTGATTATGGAGCACTGGAACTCTTTAGGCGGCACGCCTTCAGAAAAAACCAACCCACCAGAGATTATGATAATCTCTCGACTTGTGCTGTAAAATATGCTCAAGGTCTGCCTTTAGCACTCAAAGTCCTGGGAGCTTTTCTTCATAACAAAACTATACGCGAGTGGGAAGATGAGTTAGAAAAAATAAGGAAAATTCCACGAAGGGGAATTCATGATGTGCTTAAATCAAGCTTCGATGGACTAGATGACACAGAGAGGGACATCTTTCTAGATATTGCATGTTTCTTTAAAGGGATGGAGAAAGACCATGCAACCCGAATTCTAGACGGTTGTGGTTTCCATCCTCATATAGGAATAAGAGTTCTAATCGATCGAGCTCTCATAACTGTCTCAGAGAAGGGGGAACTAGAGATGCATGATTCATTAGAGGAAATGGGTCGGGAAATCGTTCGCCAAGAATCTATCAGAGAGCCTGGGAGACGAAGTAGGTTGTGGAGTTATGAAGATGTTCATCACGTGCTAACTCAAAATACGGTGAGAAGTCTTTCTTATGTGGTTGTTAGTAGAAAGCTTCAACTTTTGACCAAAATCAATTACTTAGGCCCGTTTGATAACCATTTTTGTTTTTAATTTTTAATTTTTAGGTTTCATTGTTTTAATAATTGAAAATTGAAAACAATATTAAACTGAAGACGAAATAATTATCAAACGGCTTCTTTAAGAAACAAGCATTAATTTCATTATCTAAACTAAGGTTCTCTGTATTTTCTAATACTTTGATTTGCACAGGCTACGGAATCAATTGAAAGCATATTCGTGGATTTCTCGTACTCAGACTGGGTATGCTTAAATGCTGAAGCTTTTGTTAGTATGACTCAACTAAGACTTCTCAAGATCGGTCATAAGGGCTCAATTTTTGAAGATTACTACAAACACCACCTGATTGGGCCCCTTAAGTTACTTAACTTGAGGTATCTCTCCTTGTTTGAATTCCCTCTCAAGTCTTTGCCGTCCAACTTTCAATTGAAAAATCTTGTTGAACTTGACATGCAATTTAGTCTCATTGACCGACTTTGGGAAGGAACCCAGGTACGTACAATCATTACATGTTTTTATTTCTTTTAAATGTTTGGGTTTTGAGTGAGCTGTTTTACTAAGTAATGCATGTTTTCTTGAATGTTTTAACAGACGCTGAAAACGTTGAAATTCATCAATTTAAGTTATTGTGAATACCTTAAGGAAACCCCTGACTTCACAAATGTGCCGAATCTTGAGAGGCTAATTCTTCAATGTTGTACAAGGTTAGTTAAGGTTCACCCGTCTACTTCGACTCTTACAAACCTGGTTTTATTGAATCTGAATTCGTGCCATGACCTTAAGATTCTACCCAGCAACATTCGTATGAAATATCTCAAAACCTTTAATCTTTTTGGCTGCTTGAGCCTTGAGATGTTTCCAGAGATTTCAGAAGTGATTAAGGGGTTAGAAGAGCTTGATTTATCCAGGTCAAGAATTAAAGAATTGCCCCCGTCAATTAATAATCTCACGGGGTTGAGTCATTTCAACCTAAAAGATTGCAAGGAACTTAAGAGTCTACCCAGCAAAATTCGTATGAGATCTCTCAAAATCTTTAATCTTTCTGGCTGCTCTAGTCTTGAGATGTTTCCAGAGATTTTAGAAGGTATGGAGAAGTTGGAAGAGCTTAATTTAACCTGGTCAAAAATTAAAGAACTGCCCTCGTCAATTAATAATCTCACGGGATTGAGTCATTTGAACCTAGAACATTGCGAGGAACTTAAGAGTCTTCCAAGCAGCATTCGTATGAAATCTCTTAAAACCTTTAATCTTTATGGCTGCTCCAATCTTGAGATGTTTCCAGAGATTTTAGAAGGTATGGAGAAGTTAGAAGAGCTTGATTTATCCGGGTCAAAAATTAAAGAACTCCCTTCGTCAATTAATAATCTCACGGGGTTGATTCGTTTGAACCTAATACTTTGCAAGGAACTTAAGAGTCTTCCAAGCAGCATTCGTATGAAATCTCTCAAAACCTTTAACCTTTATGGTTGCACGAGTCTTGAGATGTTTCCAGAGATTTCAGAAGGTATGGAGGAGTTAGAGGAGCTTAATTTATCCGGGTCCAAAATTAAAGAACTGCCCCTGTCAATTAATAATCTCACGGGGTTGAGTCATTTCAAACTAAAACATTGCGAGGAACTTAAGAGTCTTCCAAGCTGCATTCATGTGAAATGTCTAAAAACCTTTAATCTTTATGGCTGCTCTAGTCTTGAGATGTTTCCATCGATTTCAGAAGGTATTGAGGGGTTAGAAAAGCTTGATTTATCCGGGGCAAAAATTGAAGAACTACCCCCGTCAATTAATAATCTCACGGGGTTGAGTCATTTCAACCTAAAACATTGCAAGCAACTTAAGAGTCTACCCAGCAAGATTCGTATGAGATCTCTCAAAACCTTTAATCTTTTTGGTTGCTCCAGTCTTGAGATGTTTCCAGAGATTTCAAAAGGTATGGAGGAGTTAGAAGAGCTTAATTTATCTGGGTCCAAAATTAAAGAATTGCCCCTGTCAATTAATAATCTCACGGGATTGAGTCATTTGAACCTAGAACATTGCGTGGAACTTAAGAGTCTTCCAAGCAGCATTCGTATGAAATCTCTCAAAACCTTTAAGCTTTATGGCTGCACCAATCTTGAGATGTTTCCAGAGATTTCAGAAGTTATTGAGGGATTAAAAGAGCTTAATTTATCCGGGTCCAAAATTAAAGAACTGCCCCTGTCAATTAATAATCTCACGGGGTTGAGTCATTTGAACCTAAAACATTGCGTGGAACTTAAGAGTCTTCCAAGCAGCATTCGTATGAAATCTCTCAAAACCCTTAATCTTTATGACTGCTCCAATCTTGAGATGTTTCCAGAGATTTTAGAAGGTATTGAGGAGTTAGAAGAGCTTGATTTATCCGGGTCAAAAATTAAAGAACTACCGCTGTCAATTAATAATCTCACGGGGTTGAGTTATTTAAGCCTGAAATATTGCGTGGAACTTAAGAGTCTTCCGAGCAGCATTTCTCAGCTCAAGTCCCTTGTCTCTCTCTCTCTTTCCGGTTCTACAAAATTTGAGGTGTTTCCAAGCATTGAAGAAAATATGGAAGGATTAAGATATCTTTTCTTGGATGGAACATCTATCAAAGAGCTTTCCCCCTGGATTGAACAGCTTACGGGGCTTCGGTATTTAAATCTGAGAAACTGCAAAAGCCTTGTACATCTTCCCGACACACTCTGTAATTTGGCACACCTTATCACAGACACATAGCTCTGTCTTGGCCTGAGTCCCTCTCCACCCCAACCCCCCCCCCCCCCATTTCTAGGTAATCAAAATTCAAATCCTATTTTTGGTTCGGAATTAAAATTTGAAATTTGGGAAATTTTATTATCTGAATAAAGAAATAATTTTCAGGGGTTTTGGGTACTCTCTGCTGATAAACACATGGATACGAAGCTCTGTTTTGAAGCAATCAATCGGACACTACGCCGCGTTGCGGCGGCTTTGGTGGAATTGGCGTGGTCAGACGGCTAGCCACGGCCGCATATTTTGAAATCCACAATTCTTTTGATTTGTGCTTGTGCAGAAACTGTGAAGATATTGGTATGTCAATTCCCGTTGCTAACTTGCTAATGCCACCGGTGCTCTTCCAATTTGGGTGAAAGGTACTTTGCATTTCCTTTTATCTTGACGTTTCTATATCTGCAAATTACAGTGGATGAATGCTCTGAATTTGTGTAAATGATGGGGATTTTCAATTGCTTGTCGTATGAATCATCAGCAAACTCTGCATTCATCGGTTAAACCACGGTATTCAATACAACGAACAAGAGCTGCTATGCAGCCTTCTAAGTTTTACAGAAAAATGCATAGATGACATCCGTCTTGCCTTAACAAATACAATGGAGAAGTTACAACTCAAACTGTTATGCCAGTTTTAGTTGCATGCTCACATAAAATCTGCCAAAAATATACATATGTCAAGATTTTAACACCCTTGTGCACCATTTTTAACACCCTTGTGCACCATTTATTCCGCAGGCGAGTTTGATCTTTAAGTTTCTTTTGTTGGAAAATTTTGATCTTGAAGTCTGGCACACATGCTTTTGCAGGGAAGATGTATGAGATTGGATCGTCTGGAATTAGCAGCCTAAAAGGACACCTCAAGAGGAGGAATAAATAAGAGCCTCAACGAGTTCATCTCCCTCTTTAGAAGAATGTCCCTTGTACCAACTAATGCTAAAGCTGTAGACGCTAGAATTGAATGGTTCTAGTAGTTTCAGGTGACATTTATTATTTCTAGCATCTGTATATGTACTGTTTGGGGGACGTTATCGCCAGTGCCGGCCCTGGTCCAGTGCAAACAGTGCATCTGTTCAGGGCCGAAATTGTTTTGGGGCACTTCTTCCTTCACAAATTGCGACAGCGGTGACCAGAGCCTTTCTTCCAGACCAGTGTCCTTCAGTCGCAGCTTTCCTTATCAGCCTCTTGAACTCCGAAATCGCTGCAGAAATTGCCGAAAACTTGACTGAATTTTACAGAATCGGTCGCTGTCGTTCACCGCTGCAGTCCTCTGTGCACAGCTCATTGAGCTTTCCGGGTACTCTTGCTCCGAGCACACAGTGAGTAAGATACTAATATTTCACTAAAAAAATGCCCATTTATATGTTTAATTGTTAAATTTGTGATTAAAGTGAGTAACTTTGAGATACCCAGATTGTTAAATTGAGTGCTCTGCTTATTTTCCAGATTCAGACGAAAGATGGGTACTTCCTGGATTTTAGATGTGAAGGACTAATAGGAGTCGTGTTTGTTAGTGCAATTTCTGTGCCGTTTGAGATGTGAAGGACTAATGAGATTGCTCTGGTGGGGAGTGTTCCCCGTAACTGATACGTGAGTAAAATATTGATTCTCTAGACGCCTGATTAGCGAAAAGCCTTACTTTCATAGCTCCTTCCAATTTTTTCAACATATTGGCCCCACCAAGTTGATTTGAAATATTTCAAATTCTGAATGTGTAGCTCACTATTTGGTGCCCCCTGATCTGAAGTTTTCAGGTTCTGTTGAAATTTCCTTTCTTGAAACTAACTATTGTGTAAATTGATGAACATCCATCGGATACATTTTAAATTTGGCTCTAATTTGCTTCAAACTCAATTGTAATTGGTTACTGGCTTTTCTTGATCTTGACCAGGTGGTTCATGGTTCTTAAATTCTTCAGAAGAATAAATGGGATTCGTCCTTGCAGATGAAGGTTTCGATTTATGGGTAGGGACACACATCTTTATCAGAAGAGAATAAGATTTATGCTATACTGTAGGATTTTTGGAATTGGAGTTGGCAGGACTTGGTTGTATTTGATCTACCAGAAATGATGCGCTGCAGGTATTCGACAACAAGCTCCGAAGTCTTTGTTGCTGGACATTCACAGTTCTTACATCTCTTCATCTACTTCACATCTCCTTCCCTTGCTGCTACTTTTGGTGTTTACTCAATTTATTCATGTTATTAGGGAACAATCATGTCTTTAGCTGCTCTCATCCAGCCGGATATCGCAGAACTGGCTGAAGTTGCCGCTCGTTTGTACTTTATATGCAGCCAATGGGGCGTTGACATTTTGGATTCAATATGTGATGGCCATGTTGACTGCTTGGAGTGGTTGTATATATTTTGCTTTTGATCGTCGGGATTTCGATACTATGTTCCCCCAGTTGTATGTTTATTCTTAAAAGTAATATAATATGGGCGTGAGGGCCTAGCCCCCCAGCTTCGACTGGGTTCCAGCCCTCTTTAAATATTTCTTTTTAATTTATGTTGTTGTACTGGAAAAGGGCACATTATTCGCTCCAGGCACCAAAAAATTCAGGACCGGCACTAGTCTAATATCCTAGTGGAGAAGCATTTGGGTTCTACTCAGAAGTCCCGAGTTCGAAATTCCCCCTCCCATAATGTAATAGTTTCAAAGTCTCCTTAATATCTTTTTTTTTTTTTAATGTTTGCAAAGAATTTGTCTAATTTTGAACGCATAAGAAATGAAAATGGTTAACTAAGTCACTCATTAAAAGTAATAATTTCAGACTTGATCATCTTATATATGAATGAGAATGTATCATTTTTTTATTTTTTTATTACGAACAATATTTCATTAATATATACATTAAAGAGAGGGAAAAATGTTTAAACTCGAAACATAATGAGTTAAAAAATAAACCTTATCATCAGAACAATTCATCACTTGCAATTCATAATGTTTGCATAAGGCAAGTAACCTTCTCAACAGTGGCGGCTTTGGAGGAGGACGAAGTATTCGATCACACAGAACCTTCGATATCTCAAGGACAATCACCGCACCTAAAGTCATCTCCAACCGATCAAATCAAATGGTCATAGGGCTAAAAATAGCTTGGAATGACAAGAAAACCGTCTTCAAGCAAGGCTAGGCCAAATGGCTTGTTGGGCCCCATCTGGCCAAAACCCCCAAATCAAGCCAACGGGTTGGCCATTTCCAGTCAGCCAACCAGTTCTCCAGCGGCAGAATGTCAAGCTTGACTTTATAGCAAGTGCAACAATACCACGCTTTCTTCGTTATTGTGGCAAGTGGCACTCAAAATATGTCAGAAAACCTTATTTTAATACGGTAGTTTAATTTAATTAACTATATTAATTCAATTAAAATAATAAATTCTTTAGGGGATTATTTTTGGTCTATGACATTTTGGCCCTCTCGGTTGGAGATGCGTTTATTGTCAAAGGGCTATGTTTGGCCCATGATTCTTTGGCCCCCCGGTTAGAGATGGTATAAAATATGACATGCATTGTTTATTAAAATATAATTTCTTGCAAAACTATAAGGATAAACATGATCTTTCAGACCTAATTCGATTGGAGATGGCCTAACCTTATGCTTCCTATAATAAAATTTTAAATGTGACATACCGAACGACTACTCGAATCTAACGACTAATTACTATTATTATTTTTTTTTTTCTGAAAAACAATAGGAAAAAATGAGAGAAGAATCAGCCACTTCCCTCCATATTTTTTTTATTTTTTATTTTTTTCCGGTCACTCACTCTCTCTCCCCTTGTTTCTCTCCTAATCGTAGAGTTCGGTAGTTTACCAAAAAATAAAAATCCTAGAGTTCGGTAGTTGATAAGTGTTCTGCACATGGTCGGTGCTTCAAGATTTACATTTGTTTTGCCTCCATTTCTCAGAGAGCCTTCTTCTCTGCTTCTCTGGAATTTACCAGTGAAAGAAACCTCAAGAGAAACAGAAAGCTCTGCCTTCTGGTTTGAGAGAGAGAGAGAGATGCTCTGCTGCGGCAGACTTTTGGCCGTGTCTTTCCCCGTAAATCGGTGCAGTCCGTACAAACTGCATAGCGCCGGCTGCTCCAAATTCAGCTACCCAAGAAGCCCCATATCAACAAGCAGCTCCAGATGGCGATCCCTGGCCATGGCTTCGGAGCCCGACTCCTCCTCTTTCGCTCCGTCTGTCGATTCTGATCCCAATCCCGCCGCCGATACAAACCCCGCCGGGTACCACCCCCCCTCTCTCTAGGAAATTAACAGAAAATGGAAATTTAAAGTTCCAAGCTTTGGATTTTTACTTTGCACTGTGAAATTTATGAGATTGCAGACAGCTTACTGGTCTTTGAAAGTTTGTAACTTCATTTGAAAAACCCATGTGATTTATCTGCTGTTGATGTTAATTAACCGAGCAATGATACGGAAATTGCTTTTTTAGCCTGTAATTTTTAGTTTTTACATGCTTAATTGTGCAGATTTTGTATCATAGAGGGGCCTGAAACAGTGCAGGACTTTGCCACAATGGAGCTGCAAGAAATTCAAGATAATATTCGGAGTCGGCGCAACAAAATTTTCTTGCATATGGAGGAGGTGAGAGCAATTGCTAGTTGCTGCCACTTTCTCAGTTTAGCATGTTTTAAATTACTCTCCAATTGCCATTAGAAATGTGTTCTTTAAGAATGAGCTTCGATATGCGAAGGTTCGCAGGCTGAGGATACAACAGCGGATTAAACGCGCAGAGCTTGGAGCGGTAAATGAAGATCAAGAAAACGAACTTCCTAGTTTTCCATCATTCATTCCATTTTTGCCTCCCCTGGTAAGCTGCTGACCCTGTGAAGACATGTATTTTCATATCCCGGACTTGTTTTAGCCATATTTTGTTGTAGCCTTTTGTCGGTTCATAAAAAACTGCGAAAACTAGTGTTTGTGCAAAGTATTAATCACAAGGTGAATGCATTGGTTGCAGAGTTCAGACAACCTTAAGCAGTATTATGCTGTATGTTATTCAATTATTGCGGGGTTTATCCTTTTCGGTGGCCTCATAGCACCCTCCGTAAGTTCTTTATGCATTAACTTGTTGTGATTAGTTTTAACAGTTATTAGTAAACATTATTTTATTTTACTGGTCCGACAATACGGTTTTGAATTTGCAAGTAAAAAAACGAGGAAACATGTCAAATAAGTGTAGTTTCTGCTTATAAAACATGGATTCGGTTATGTTTCTAACTCTCTGCCGACAATTACGTTTACATCTTTCAGTTGGAGTTGAAGCTTGGAATAGGAGGCACATCGTATAAAGATTTTATAGTAAATATGCATCTGCCGTTGCAGTTGAGGTATGGCTCATATCTCAGGCTATTAGCCCTCCTGTTCTCTAGTAATTATCGTTTTGAAATTTTGTACCATCTATCGTGTTATGAATCTAAAAATTCAATTGTTACTGTTTTCGGTCTGTAACATAGGAATCAAATACTTTGGGAACTGATATAGTCAAATTTTACAAGGATCCTCAATTTTTACACATTAGAAAAACCCAGGATGTCAGCTATCTTGAAACGAAGCTAAATAATGTTGATACCATGTTGTTACCAGTTTCGTTTATTGATCTCCTATACTTTCAAACTGCAGTCAAGTTGATCCCATAGTGGCGTCGTTTTCTGGAGGAGCAGTTGGAGTGATCTCAGCATTGATGGTAGTTGAAATAAACAATGCGAAACAGCAGGAGCATAAACGATGCAAATATTGTCTTGGAACTGGTGTGATAATGTCCTCTATTTCTGACTTTTAGTTTTATGTACTGTAGCTTTAAATATATACGATGGAGATGTTCGGATTGGTTTCATATGTCAACTTACCTGTGTATTTGATACTTACGCAGGATATCTTGCTTGTGCTCGTTGCTCCAGCACTGGAACCCTTGTTCTTACTGAACCATTATCGACAGCTGATGGCGGAAACCAACCCCTATCTCTGCCAAAAACTGAACGATGTTCAAATTGCTCAGGAGCGGGAAAGGTTAGACATATAATTATGTCCGTTGAATGTTTATTGCATACTAAATTCCTTTTAGTGCCTGCCGCTTAGATGCACTATATTCACATGTTTGGTGATACTTTTATTTGTCGGGCATGTGAAAGACAATTCAGAAGAAAAAAATTGCACTGGAAATGACGTTTAAGATTAATTTAGTAGCAAAATTTTGAGAGATGACTTCCAAATGGCAGCTATATCTAACATTGCGTCCGTAAATGTGGCAGGTAATGTGCCCGACATGCCTTTGCACTGGAATAGCGATGGCAAGTGAACACGACCCTCGGATCGATCCCTTTGATTAGAAGTGGAGCGGCATCGGTAGTCGTTCCCTTACCACTTACAACCTTCTTTCTTTCTTTTGATGCAAATGCAATACATACATCCTCTCATAAGTCGTGTCATAAGCAAGGAACGTCTGTATACATCAACTGTTCAACTTTGTTTTAAAACATCTTTCTGGTGAAGAATCAATTTCTTTCGAGGTATCGCCGTTGTGCACGGAATCAAAACTGCCTTGTTGCTCGTCCCAATGGTTAACGAGGGAATTGTTATTAGCATTCACCAAAGTTAGAACAACACCAAAATCACAATTTTGGAGAAAACGTTGGAAAAGTGGCGAAGTGACAACACACACACACACATACATAAACATAACTTGAACTTAGCTTGCATTTTGCACAACAAATACTTGTAATATCAAGATATACGGACAACAGAATGAAAACGCCTAGCTCCAGGGTTTCCCAGGGTTTCTCAATTTCACCGGAGAGGCGGCCGGGAGCCATTACGCCAAGTTTGAAGTGGAGATAGCAAAGAGTAACGGGAATGAAGGACTAGTCCGCATCAGATGCTGTTACAACAATGGAGGTGGAGCTCTCGCATACAAAAACTAGTAGCACATTGAGGTTTGGAGCCGGCTTTCCGGTCTTTTAAGTTTGGAGATGACGGCTACATCCTAGCCAGTTAGGTAGGTTAACGGCAACATCCTAGCCAGCTTTCCTGTAATTGCAGATGACGGAAAGGTCAAGAGTGGGTTTACAGGAGCATTCAAGTTTGGAGAAACTGAGACAATATTAAGTAATGCACAGGAGGCTGCGTGCAAGGTTGTTCCGACACCCTTGGTAGCTGGGAAGTAATTACCATCAACATGGATGATGACGTTTACACTGGTGCCAATACCTTCGACAAGAAGTTCGACACCAACAAAGAAATGTCTTCTCATCCAATGCTCAGCGATATATTCTCGGAATTTCACGATACAGTTAAATGGCTACATTATTGTTCAGAAAATTTACATATTTTGTGTCTTATTACCAATCCTACATTCGATACCATTGAATTTACTGGTAAAAATACATTTCTGTAACGATCCTCCGATGGTAGATCTTCGTCTTTCTTCTTCAACCACTTTCTTCAGGGAATTGCTGATGTCACCCAATGCCCAAGCTACCGAGATGTGAGGGCGCGGATCCTGTGATCACCAACACCCCATGAAGTGATTTAGTTTTTTGAGCAATGAGTAGTATTCAGGCACAATCTTGTTTTTCGAGTTTGAAAAACACGAAAAAGCTTATACACCTCATTCACAGCTTGAATCTGCTTTGTTATCTGAAATCAATGGAAGTTGAAATATTTCAGACTTGTAGACAATGAAAGCTGCTTCAACCGTGCATTAATACGAAAACAGGTATGCTTCTAGTAACCACGTTTCACCTCTCCAGGATATCAGAGTGGTCTGACGGGCCTCAAGGGGCGTGGAGGGTACGAGAGGTGTTGCAAGTCACGAGCAGAGTTGTTGGGTGGGCGGGTCATCGTTGGGATGTCGCAGATCTGTTTCACGTTTTAAATCCCATCGTTAAGACAGTCTACACCAATCTTTAGACCAAAAACCTATCCTATCCAGTTCAATCCTAACCTAACTAGTCTGAAATACCAATTCCAATCTTGTCCGGCCCGCCAAACATGCCCTAAGTATCATAGGCTTATACTCACATGACAGGATTAGGAACATGATTTACGCCAGGACAACACATGTTAAAACCATGAGCATATCATGCATTAGTTTTCGTTTGTGTTTTTCATGTTACAAGTGCATCGAAGACCAAATCTAAGCTAATAAGCAAGCAAGATATCAATATTTCAAAATCCCATGACCTTCGGCAAGTACTTACTAAATCTTAAGCCCATATAACAACTGAAAACATTTAGAATTGCACCAAGAGAGAAAGCTAGCAATCATACCTCAGCTAACCCAGCAGCAATGATTTCGATAGACACAAAGGTCCGGGTCTGATCATCATTAACAAAAACCTCCCACTTGCTAAAATCAATCCAATACCTGTTTCACAATAACAAAATGTGTTAAACCGAAAATGGACAAAAAATTTGCAGGCTTACAGAATTATGTTAAATAACAGAACTAACTTCACGCAATGCGGACAAGAGAATGTAAATGTAACCATACCGCCTCTGAATCTGAAGCTTCTGCCGCAGCATTGTCACCAAGGAATCAATCTGGTGCACCCGAATCGGAACAGTTCTTCCGAGACTTATATGGAACTCTCTGCCTAAAGCAACTTGTTCAAGCTTGTGCTCGTCCTTACGCAGAATGTCAAGCGGGAAGTCAACGTCAACCGCATGGAGACCAGGCACCAGAGAAGCTAGCTTGTTCAAAAACAAGGCCATCTCTTTCCTTGGTGCTGGTGGTATATAAACTGGAACCACACAATTAAACAAGCAAAAACTAAGTGCAAAGCGATCGCATTTGCTAATGGAGCTGAAAATTTCGAGAATTTTGATAACCTGGGATGTATACATGTACTGCGTAGTTCCCTTCGACGTGAGGAAAGTTCCGAACTCTGCTCGGCTGGGCGCTTGCCGATAAGTCCAGAAATCCTTCAGAGGCAAAACATCAAACACTTGGTGGGCAACTCGGAAAAAGCCATCACAGCAGAAAGCTAAAAGATGAAATTGATGGGAATCAGAGGTTACCGAAGGAATTGGGGCTGTCGAGAAGTGAAAGAGGAGGTGGAGGCAGCGCAGGGGTCGGTTCTTGAGGGTTGTTGAGCTCCGGAGGTGGTGGTGAAGGTGGAGCCGGCGACTCGGAGTCTGAGCCCGACGACGAGTCTCCGTACGAGGCAATCAGGGCCTCCATTTCTCTCTCGCGCTAAAAGCGAACCAGTACGTTCTTAATTTGGGTAACTAGAAGTAGAACGAGAAGACCGGAGATAATGGGCCTCATAATTGGGCCCACTAGGCCGAGGCCCGAGGTCCGTGATTTCGAACTGCGCGATTAGGAGGGAAAAACAATCAAAGAGAAACGTACACATTTGGTCTTCTTCACTCCTTCTTCTTTCTAGGGTTGCAAAGGTCATTCTGCAAATATGTGATCGCAAAGGTCATTCTGCATTGAATTGTTTTCAACATGGATGTCAAATTTGTCACCATGTTGCTGCTACTTGCTTTGATTGGAATAAGAATTTTACAGGCACATCAGAGCATTTCTCTCAGGGTTTATCCTCATCTATGCCAACTCCAATGCCTACTGGGTTATATGGTGAAGCACCTAGCTAGAATCCATGTGGTCCTTCACAAGGCATGATTCCACAGTCTAATAGCTCCCAGTTTTAGTATCTTGTCATACCATATCTCTCAACTACATCCTCACAAAATCTTCATCTTGCTATGCAAGCACGAGCTGGTGCATCATCCTCAACTCTTCAACAAGATTTCTGGTTTCTTGACTTGGACCATATGACCTCAGATTTGTCAAACTTGCACATGGCAACAAATTTATCCATCAAATGATATTGTGACCAGTGCTAGTGGTGAAGGTTTAGCTATCAAACATATTGGTTCCTCTTCTCTTCTCACTAAGTCACATAATTTCAAGTTAAACTCTATGTTACATGTTCCAAAACTGTCACAACACTTATTATCTATGAATCAGTTGTGCAAAGATAATCAGTGTCGTTGTATCATTAATGATGTTTCTCTCTATCTACAGGACAAGGTCACCGGGAGAGTGCTATTCCAAGGGCTGAGTAATAATGTTGTCTATCCACTTCCCATAATCAAACCACAGAGGTCTATTTCTCCTGTTTTTAATCCAGTTGCATTTGTGGGATAAAAGATTTCTTCTACATTGTGACATTGTCGATTAGGTCATCCTGCACATTCCATTGTCACTGCAACACTTGATAAGTCTTGTATATCTTTTCCTTGTAACTCTCAATCTCATACTTGTAAAGCTTGTTTGCAAGGCAAGTTTACCAAGTTCCCTTTTCCTGTAATTGCTTCGAAGTTACTTACTCCATTTAAAGTAATTCACATAGATGTTTGGGTCCCTCACCTAGTCTGTCTATAGAAGGTTACAAGTATTATGTTTCCTTCATTGATGAATGTACAAGATATACTTGGATTTTTCCATTAAATAATAAAATTGCAGTGTTCACTGTTTTTGTCAACTTTCTTACTTTTGTCTCGATTTATTTTGATGCTCATGTAAAAATTTTGCAAAGTGATAGGGGTGGGGAATATGTTAGTACTCAGTTTAAGCAATTTCTTCTTACCAAAGGCATTGTTCATCAAAAATATTGTCTTTATACCCTATACCATAATGGGTTAGCTGAGAGAAAAAATCAACATATTGTTGAAACAGCTATTACCTTTTTACAACAAGTTTCATTACCTTCAAAATTCTAGTTCCATGCCTGTGCCACTGCTACTTTTCTTATAAACAGAATGCCCACACCTACCCTACATATGCAGTCTCCTTTTGAAATGCTATATAAATCTCCACCTAAGCTTGATCATTTGAGAATTTTTGGGTGTTTATGTTATGCTTCATTGAAACCCTATAGAAGCACTAAACTTGAACCTAAAACTACTAAGTGTATTTTTCTGGGGTATGCTACACAATACAAAGGGTATATTTGCTTCTCTCTCAAAGATCAGAAACTGTTAGTATCTAGACATGTTATTTTTTATGAATCCAAGTTTCCTACAGACTCTAATGCTTTGGGTTTCAATCCTCAAGTTACTTCTGGTCATTCTTCCTCACCAGTGTCTGTTGTGCATTCAAACACATTCATTCATCCACCTAGTGTTTCTTCCACATTTCCATTTATTGGTCCCACTTCTCTTACCTCTAAATCACGGCATGTTACTCAGTCATCATCCTCTCAACCCACTAGTTCTGGTGATCTTGTCTCTTATTCCACAAGTGGTGTGCCTTCTTCAGAGGTTTTGCCTACTGTGTATTCAAAAGATCATCCAAATACTACAATGTCTCAAGTGGATGATCTCCAACTAGTGTGTATCAATGCTCAAAATTGTCATCCCATGCAAACCCAGTCTAAGTCTAGGATTATGAAAAAGAAGGTGTTTTCTGCTAAGGTGGATCAGGCTTCTGAAATCAAGGAACCTAAGTCTTTTTCTAGTGCAATCAAGTGTGTTCAATGGCAAAATGCCATGAAATAAGAGATGGATGCTTTGATTCAACAACGTACTTGGAAGCTTGTGCCCTTACCATCTGACAAAAATCTTGTTGGTTGTAAATGGATCTACAAGATTAAAAGAAATCCAGATGGTTCAGTGGCTAGGTACAAGGCTAGACTTGTAGCTAAGGGGTATTCTCAAGAAGTTGGTATTAACTATTATGAAACCTTTAGCCATGTGATCAAACCAACCATAGTTCGATTGGTTCTATCGTTGGCTGCATCTCATAATTGGAAACTCATACAGTTAGATGTCAATAACGCTTTTTTGCATGGCTTTCTTGAGGAATAAGTTTTTATGTCTCAGCCCTAAGGGTTTGTGGATTCTACCTATCCAGATTATGTGTGCAAACTGGAGAGGTCTTTATATGGTCTCAAGCAAGCTCCCAGAGCCTAGCATGACATGTTTTCAGGTTATTTGCCTAAGCTTGGGTTCAAGTCATCATATGCAGATCCTTCTTTATTTGTCAAGTGTGATGGTTCATCAATTATTGTTCTCTTATTATATGTTAATGATATCGGTGGATAACTCCAGATGAACAAGAATTGCAAATCTGATTTCCAACTACGAAGACAATCACTCTACGATCGCAGAGAAGCAAGAATCACATATATACTCCAACAATGGCAATCGTCCTTGAATCTATTCAATTACTTCAAGAAACTAAATTCTCAACAAATTTTGGCATCGGCCTTTCATCAAATCAACATATAACTCTTCAATTAACCAAAAAACTATGGCATCGGCCTTCAATCAACTCAAATCACTTCAAGAAATTGAAAATTCTCAACAAATTTTGGCATCGGCCTTTCATCAAATCAACATATAACTCTTCAATTAACCAAAAAACTATGGCATCGGCCTTCAATTACACTTCAATTCAAACGAAATTTCAGAAGAAGAACACTAAACTCTTTTAGGGTTTCCAACGCAAAGAACAAATATCCAGAGACAAAGCCCATAAGCAATATCACCTTCTTACCAGTCGAAGCAATGGAAACGATGAACCAGTACCATTGCGCAAGCAAGAACGACTCTGGATACCATCTTAACAGTAGAGATGAATTCCATAGAAATTAAGAAATACACTGAAGAAGGAAGCTTAGAGGAGAAGTCAGAAAGAATTACAATATATTTCTCTAACTGTTTTAGGTATTACAACCTCTTACAAAATAAAGGAAAGGAAAAGGTATTTATACTATTCTATCTAGTAAGCCATATGTGCACATGTTTTGCACGTGTAGTAGTAATGACACAGCCTATATACTTATCCAATAGTAATTATTGTAGACAAGTTGAATGAAAAGAATAGGCCTAATCGGATAAATGGTTTTCGTGGTCATAAGGTATTCGGATGATAGCCCCTGTGGTAAAAAATTTCGGATTTAAACCCCTGTGGTCTAAGTCTGTTAGGATTTATGCCCTTCTGTTAAATAATGTTGACGTGCCTGCCACATATATGCCACGTGGCAAAAATAATAATTTTTAATTTTTTTTTTAAAAAACCTGAATTTAAAAAAAAAAAAAAACCCAGAAGCTCCCCCCGCCCTTCGCCCTTCCCCCCCCGCTGGACTTCTTCTTCTTCTTCTTCTTGCCGGAGACCAGCTCCCCCCCCCCCCCCGCCGGAGCCCTCTCCCCGCGCGACCCTCCTCCCTCTCCTTCTTCCTTCTTCTTCTTCCCGCCGGTCTCCCCGCGCGACTTCTTCTTCTTCTTCTTCTTCTTCTTCTTCTTCTTCTTCTTCTTCTTCTTTTCTTCTTCTTCTTCTTTCTTCTTCTTCTTCTTCTTCTTCTTCTTCTTCTTCTTCTTCTTCTTCTTCTTCTTCTTCTTCTTCTTCTTCTTCTTCTTCTTCTTCTTCTTCTTCTTCTTCTTCTTCCTCCCGCCAGAGACCAGCTCCCCCCCTCGCCGGACTGGGTTTTTTATTTTTTATTTTTTTGTAAAAATTCAGGTTTTAAAAAAAAAAATTAAAAATTATTATTTTTGCCACATGGCAGACATTTGGCAGCCACGTGGCATATATGTGGCAGCCACGTCAGCATTATTTAACAAAAGGGCATAAATCCTAACAGATTTAGACCACAGGGGTTTAAATCTGAATTTTTTTACCACAGGCCTATCATCCGAATACCTTATGACCACGGGACCATTTATCCGATTAGGCCAAAAGAATATTATTCAGGTTTAACAAACTTTTCCTCTCTACTGGTTTCCAAAAAGAAAAAACTTTCCCTCTCTACGATCTCTCTCTTAGTTTTTCCTTAGCTCCTAAGGTTTTACACTGTTATCAGCCTGGTCAGGCCGTCAGGCCAAATCCTCCGTTGGAATCTTCGAAGCAATGTCCAAGGAAAACGTTCAGGCGTACGGCGGAGGGCTCACGGCGGAACAAAGAAACCGCATCTCTCGGAATTTCAGAGCCGCCAAGGCCCTCATTGATCGCAAACGCCCCCGCAACGACGCCGTTTCACCTGATCATCACCTCCCTCATACCAAGTAAGTCGTTCAGGAATCAAAGGTTTCATCTTCTTACTATTTTTTGGCTACTCGGCTGTTTTCTTGCTTCAATTTAAATCAATTCAATTGTGTTTTTCAAATTCCAGAATCTGTGGCGGAAATGGAATCCAAACGCCAACTCAGCTCAATAGAGTTCAAAGAACACCGCCTCCGATTTCCGCAAGCCGGTACAATTCAGCGCGTGGTGAATATGGCAGTGCTTCGTGTTCCGGGAGCTTAAGCGTTAGCCGGACAGAATCAAGCGTGTCAAAATCGGATTCTTTCACAACTCCAATCAGACATCAGTTTCTGACTTCATTTGATTCTTTCTCTGCATCTGGAATTCTTAACGATGATGATTTCGATGAGAGTATTTTGCAGGAAATTGACGCTTTAATTGAGCAGAAACCAAGTGTGGACATTCAGCGTGATGATATTGGGAGTTGTGGTAGTGACGTTCGTGCCGCATCAGCGCCGCCTTTGAGTAGTGAAAACCAAACGGATTCCGTTAACCATGGATTGCCTAACATGCCGGATGAGTATTTGAAGTATTAGCTTTCTCTCAACGAAAGGCAGCGCGAGGCAGCTTGCAGCGATATTTCAGTACCTTTGATGATTGTTGGGCGCGTTCTAATGCTGCTCAATGAGGTGTTGCTACTTCCCCCTAACTTTTTCTTTCATAATTGTGTGTTTCTCTACATTTCTTGTTTATGATCGAAATCTTATTCGTTTTTTTTTTTTTTGTGTTCTTAGGGCATCAGCACGTCGAACATTCTAGCAATGACTTTCACTACAGCAGCAGCTTCCGAGATGAGAGATCGAATTGGATCTGTGACTGGGAAAGCAACGGCAAAACTACTAACAATCAGTACATTGCATTCATTTTCATTGCAACTTTGCCGATCACATGCTGAGAAGTAAGCTATTGATTCACCTCCCTTGATTTTGAACACCATACATATGGTGGTACAGCTGAGTCTGTTATGTTGGCTTGTGTTTTAGACTCGAGCGCAGACCAGAATTTTTGATATATGGACATGGGCAACAGAGAAGAGCAATCATTGAAGCTGTGCGGTTATCAGAAGATGAAAAGAGTAAAACGAATCTTAATGTTGCTATAGATGGGGAAGAGTCTAACGGCGTAACATCTCCACATCATTTTAAGGATGCATCAAAGAAATGGCTGAAGTTTGTGACACAGGTTAGTCTTGAATACGAAATTTAATGTTCAGATTATTGTGGATTAAGAACTCTAATCATTCGATTTAAAAAATATTAGCTACAATCAAGCTAGAATGACCAATACAATGGTGTGTCTTACAATATGTGGCATTAGGCAATAAATTTATTTATGTTTCAGGCAAAAGCTTCTGGAAAGACTCCCGCTGAATGCCGAAGAATGGGTGATGTGACAGGAGTACGCTCAGAACTAGAATTTCAGATATCATTTCAGTTCTTTGAAACTATTGCTTATGAGTTTTAGCTCTCAATCTGAATCAGGGTGAAATTCTTAGGAATTACAATGATATCTTGAAATCGTGCAACGCTTTGGACTACCACGACTTAATTAGCTGCTCTGTGAAGCTGCTAAGCTAAGTGATTTTCCTGAAGGTCTCTATCATCTAAGTATATTTCATTGATTTATCTAGTTTTACAAGTAATGCTAAATGTTGATACATGGTGTTCTCTTAATTAGTGTTGAAGGAGTGCCAGGAGTCATGGAAAGCTATTGTAATAGACGAGTTTCAAGACACAAGTGCTATGCAATATAGTCTTTTGCGGATTCTCGCCTCTCATAACCACATAACCATTGTTGGTGATGATGATCAGGCATGTTGTTGATTTATTATGGAAATCCAATGTTATTGCTCCCTCTCTCCCTCTCTCCCTCTCTCTCTCTCTCTCTCTCTCTCAGCTCATTCTAATCCAGCCCTTATCTGTTCTAAATCAAATAACATATATCCTGCTGCAGTCCATTTTCAGTTTCAATGGGGCGGACATTTCTGGATTTGATTCTTTTCGTAAAGATTTTTCAAATTACAAAGAGGTTCGCTTCGCACTTGACTGCTATGTTATCTTATGTCATTCACAGTGTCTTTTTTCATTATATATAGTATAGAACAAATATATTGTACAATTACAGGAAAGTAAGTTTTATTTTATGGGGTTCTGTGGGATTTGACATAACTTTATGGTTCAGATTAGGCTTAATAAAAACTTTCGGTCCACACGCTATATTGTGGAAGCTGCATCTTCTGTTATAAAAAACAATAAGAAGCGATGCCAACTAAAGAATGTTGACACGGACAATTCTTCTGGGTCTAAGGTACTTAATCTTTCCTTGCTCCAACAAGTACAATTTGATGTCATTTTTCAGTCCTTTTAGTTAGTGACACTGGTTTTACTGGCAAAATGTAGGTAATTATCAAGGAAAGTCACAATGAGGATGCACAATGTGCCTTTGTTGTCGACAAGATCCTGGAGACTGCATCTAAACGGTCAGAAGCAGGGTGCTTCTATGGAAATATAGCAATCCTTTACCGGAGGCAGGTCAAGCTTACTTGCCTTAGTGCTAATGTGAATGAGGTGAATCATATAAGACATTTTGGTCACATTTTCTTTTGTATTTTATGCTACAGGTATCAGGAAAAGTCTTCCAGACAGCCTTGCGTGAAAGGAAAATACCATTTAATGTTCATGGAGTGGCAGTTTATAGGAAGAAGGTAGTTAGCACTTGTCCAGATTATGAAAACCTATCTTCTCAGTTGTATGTATCTAATTTTTCCAATATTGTTGTGCATAAGGTGGTTTTTGCTACGTAGAACTTAAGTTATAAAGAATGCATACAAGAACTGTAATAGACATAAGCTTTTCACCTTTTCCACCAGAATTTTGGCATCACTGGTCCTTTTCATTGTTTTTCGTGCTTGCTTTTCCATTCCCTTTTGGCCAGCTATTTTATCCAAGATTTTGCTACATTACGGTTTCTGGTACACTCTGTGATCTTGTTGATGTAGCATGTTTCTTATGGCAGGTAGTTAGAGCCATTGTTGCTATGATTAAAACAACTTTGCCTGGTTGTGATGATGGATCATATAGGCAAGTCTTCAAGGCTCTACTTGCTTTTGAGAAAGAGGAAAAGAAGAAGGTACACGTTCAATGGGAATGATGAATGAACATCATATTCAATGTTCTTTTCAGCATTAAAGTTGTATATTCTTGCTATCCATTTAATCTTCTTTTTTTTACACACACTCAGCATTTAGGCTCACATCTCTGGATATCACTGTCTTTTTCTCTCTCTCTCTCTTCAGGTGATCGATTATATTGACAAAATTTCAACTCACAGAAAATGCAGCTTCATATCAGCTGCTTGTGACATCTTTAGTGCAAAAATTTCTGGTACCTTGAAGAGGTCTGTATGACAAGATGCTTTAACATTACATTTTTGCATGGTTAATTCAAGATATACTCATGTTTCTTTCTTATTTGGTATTACAAGCATTTAAGATCTTTTTGGATATGTACTGATTGGTCTCTTTACTTGATAATAGGACTCAGCTTACCCAAGGACGCAAGGTGCTGTTAACACTAGAGATGATTTCAAAACTTGTTCTCAGGGTAAATATATTCGGTAAATTGTAGCACCTCTTACGCATTGCTTATTGGCATGATGTAGTAGTAGTAGTTCATGAATCTCAATGGATAAAAAGGATATATTTTCAAATTTTTGGCGAAGTGAGATTCTGTCTACTTTGGTGATTTTTTTAGTTTGATTTTAGTTCTCTAATTGTTGGAACTCTGTATACTTTTCACACCTCCTTGTTATTAGAAGGAAGAGTATCTCTTGCTCCCTTGCATTATTCTTGATTCGTCAATATTAATCCAAAATGTTATAGTTTTTGTTAGATCTGTGTTTCCAAAGAGGTAAAGGTTGTTCTGTGGAATACCTGTCTTTATTTAGTTGTGAATCTCTATGGTAGTCTCACTTATTAATGCACACAGGAACAATCGATTTCAGCTGTCATAACCTCAGTTGCGAATATGGTACCACAGGTTTGTCTTCCATTTCTCCAGAGTTGATATGTCATTTTTGAATCAAATTGCTTTTAATCATCTTTGAGGATGAGGATCACCATTCCATAACATTTTCTTCGTTTCATGCTTATATTCAATACTTCTTAATCATTTATCGTTTGACTTTCAATTTTTAGAAGTACCGTCTTGAGCAACGTGCAGTCGTTGATATAGAGGGAGGAAAACTGCTGAATGAAGACAATGACGTGAGATCTGTAAGTTTGCCGTTTGTGATGATTGTCATTTATACAATAAGCTTAAATGACCCGCTGCTTGGAAAACCCTTTTTTCAGTCAACAAGGTCTTAAATGAATAATTTCTCTGTTTTAGTTAGTTAATCATTGTTGTCACTTAAATCTTGGTCCAACTCTGTTGTTGTGATGCGATTATTCTCATTGCAGGTTCTTCAGTACCTACTAGACGACGTATCTGATTTCTTATCAACTCATTTTGTTGCGGGAAAAGGGGAGAGAGAAGTCGTAGCAGAAGAAAAAGGCTGCGTTAATTTACTCAAAGCATTCATCGACTACATATCTGAGCGGGAGAGTGAAAATTTTCACTCCCGAAGACATGACAACCAAAGTTCTGTCACTTTGACTACTATTCATCAGGTTATAGATCTTTTTGATATCCTCTTATGCGAACCTCGCTAACTCTTGTACTTGCGATGATTTCCCTATTGGACTTCCTTTGGAGTTCTACAAAACATTCTTGGCTTACTGTCTTTCTTTTTCATTCTCTTGCAGTCAAAAGGTTTAGAGTGGGATATAGTTTTCATAATTAAGGTATTTGCCTTAACAAGTGGCTGTAATATTTTTCAGGTTGTTTATTTATTTATGTGTAGAGGTCGCACTTGGTGCGATGGCAAGTGCCTTCGCCCATGAGCGGTAGGTCTCGGGTTCGAGACTTGGGAGCAGCCTCTCCATAAATGGGGGTAAGGCTAGCCGACATTCACCTCTCCCAGACCCTGCGTAAAGCGGGAGCCTTGTGCACTGGGTACGACCGTTTATTTATTTATGTGTAGAGTTGAGGTGTTCTGTCATTAGATTTACTGATTAAACATGCCAATGCTATACCTAATTGATGACTTGAAATTGGTATTCTGTTCTACTATAATCATGACGATATCAACCTCTTCAAATCATCTTAGCTTGCTTTAATGCTCATGCCAATAACACAGGTAAATGAATCTGAGATCCCGTTGTTGCATGAATTCAATGGCGTTGCAAAAGAAAATGGGACCTCCATTGAGGTGTGGGGTAAATTGTTCAACATTTTTCAGTTATATGCAGAGCTTTGAAGTGTTTTTCACAATAATCCCACTCTTTTTTCTTTTGGTCAATAACTCAATAATCCCACTCTAATCATAGGAGGAAAGACGCCTATTATATGTTGCAATGACTCGTGCTCGAAAAAAGCTTTTCATTCTTTATGTTACGATGGATTCCAGTTGGCAGGTACGTTTTAGCTTGAATTCCTGTCCTCCTTATTTGTTGTTGTTGCTCTGACTGAGAAGGTGACTCCTTCAGATGCTTCAACCTTCGCGATTTCTGAAAGAAATTCCAAATCTCTACGAGAAGTCCAGGTGTGTATTACTGTTCATTATCCTCAGTTGTTCTGCTGTTTAGTCAAACTTACAAATAATGAAGAATCTGAAGTGTTTCTAATCTTATTAAGTCTAGTGTGGGTTGAATGCAATTTTTGTTTTGTAGGCTGACGTAAGTACAGAAGGCTTGCAATCAAAGCATCATGACCCTTCAAAAGAAACTACTCCGTCAACAGATGATCTCAAACCAAATCTCCTACCTTCTGAAGTTGTTATGGTTCAAAATGATCTCCATCATAGTAAATTTGACGTTGCCTCTGCAGAATTGATGGAATTTGGGGAGGAAAACCATGGAAATGGCTTCTTAAAAAGGTTTTGCTTGCAATTATGGGTGTACTATTATAACTAGCATTTTTGGTTGGTTATGTTCATGTTTAACTTTATTATTCTGTCACTGTACAATAGATTCAGTGTGGATGAGAGATCGATTATCTCGCATGTATTTAATGACTGGGCTAAGAAGCAAGCATTTCAAGATCCTAAGAGATTACTTGACAAGGTGAATTGGATTTATATATAATCACAGTACTCAGTTGAGGCAGTAGAACTTATTTCATTTATGTCTGGGGTATAGTTTCATTTTTGTTTGAGAGATAAGAATCATACTGTTTTGCCTTTAGACTTTTAACTTTGGATTGGCGGCAATGTGAATGCCGATGCTTAATGTTCTGACTACTGCTTATATTTTCTGTTGTACCTGTTACAGATTGGTTTTGTAATAGATGAACGCATACGAGCCAAGAACTACAAACACAAGGTCATAAATTTAGTCCTTTAACTTCCTATTCAATAACTGTTCTTCCCTATTTTTTAACATGCCTCACCGCATGAAGAAGTTGTCGGTGTTTGAATACTTGTGTTTGGGTGTGATGCATCTACGTTTTTATATTACCGATTGACTCTATGTAACTCTCAGGACGGTTTGCGCTCACTCAAATCTTGCTTGAAAGATGAAGATGCATTTCATTATGCCCAATATGTAAGTATCTTGGTACTTTCCAGTTTGTGCTCTGAAAATTTCTGAAACTAAAAACAAAAGAATCATGGGATTTAGGATCTTGAATAGGCGAGCCTTCTTTTGTTTTCGTTAATATCTGTCGTAATATGCAACTACAGCTACTTTATTTCAATAGGTTTGTACACATAATTGGTATAATATGCTATCCAGCTCGACATCAACGTTATATTTCTTTGTAACAGGTTTTGAGATGGCAGAAAATATCTGCAGATCAACGCGCTCATTTGATGAGGGAAAAACAGGTTAGGTGTAAGACGGTTCCCTTTGTCAGACTTTGGTTGTTTTCGGTAGCGAACTATTGCTTTGTGTTTGAGAACCATTTGCCTTAACGCATGATGGACTTCCCTGCTGAGTGTACTCGTTCATTGCTCCCACTGCCAGTCCCATTCTTGTTTGATCCAGTGCTGTCCTGCCAAATGCCGCCCGGAGGGCTGAGGCCGGCTTGAAAGGTGGTGGTGGGATTGGAGTTTGCGGGAATTGGCTCGATTTGATCTATCAGAAATGATGCGCTGCAGATATTCGACAACAAACTCCGAAGTCTTTGTTGTTGGACATTCACAGTTCTTACACCTCTTCATGTCTCTGATTCGTATGACTTATTCCAAATATAAAAACTACGTGGAAGAGAGTTTTAGTTGAAGTGAATGCTAGCTGTAGTAGTAGATTTTGTAATTTTTATTTATTTTAAATGTATTTAAGTATCACAATACATGGTTAACCTATTTATAATTAACATAAATATTATTGATCTATTGTTAATATTGTAACTTTTTATTAATTTTTCACAAAATCACCTATGATAAAATGTGCCTAATATATATGATGATACATACAAAATGAATTACTTACATAATAAATGAATGTGTTGTTCAATTCAAAATTAAATTTATTTACAAAATAAAGTAATGTAATTTGATTCAAAATTAGCTTATTTCCATTGAATTTGGATCTTTTTCGGATTTTTTTGTAAGGATTTTGGAGATTTGTGAATTATATCTGTTCATCGTACATCTTGTAGTTAAAAATTATTTTAAATTATTTTATTTAAAATGAAACACAAATAATATTTGATAAAAAATGATCACACAATATACGATAAACATAATCAATTTACGTACACCCCAAAATCCTCACAAAAATTTGAAAAGATTTTGGCTGTTGGATTTCCATCGATATTGGAATTACAACAAAACACTCCCTTCTATATAGCACAACTGAGTCTATAACCAGCTGTGGAAAATAGGCCGGTCCCTAGGAGCTATCTGCCAAAAGAAGACAAAGCTAGAACAACAAAACGGAGATAGCTTTCGATGCTCCCGCTTTTTGCTTCATTTTGGCATCATGGATGGCTATCCACACACTCATTTTTACTTCTTACACACCCTTTGTTGATTTTTATCCTTTGATATTCTTCAATTAATTTGATCCGACGGTCGAAAATTAAAACGATGTGTAAGAAGTAAAAAAAAAGATGTGTGGATATCATACCCCTTTCATCATTTGGAGTGCTCCCTTTCATTCAACACTTTGTGATTTAGTTACGCATTTATAAATAAATAATAAGTTTAATTTGATTATAATTTTTATGGTGATAAGATAGTTAGAAGATATCTAAATTAGAATTTAAGCTTATGTGGTGAAGTTTATTTGAATTTATGCTTAAAATAAATTTTTTTGTTAATATTCCGTTAATTATTAACACGTGAGTCACATATATTAAGCTAAAACGGAACTTTCTTTTCATTGTTAGCACGTGAAGATTACATGTGAGGGCTAACTTTATTATTTTTAGTTTCATTTGTGAGTGTTTCTTCATGTGCTAACAATTAATGGAGTTAACGAAATTTTCAATTTTGAATCTAAATCGTAACAGATTTCACCACAAACGTTTAAATCATAATTTTTTTTAATCTTCGAACTACTATATCACAACAAGAATTAAGAATCCAATTAGACCTAAATAATACGACCTAAGATTAAGCTTAGCTTTAATCATGATTAAATCGCACGGGAACGGAAGATTGACTGTTCGAGAGAGAAGAAAAAGGAGATAAAACATCCTTCCTCTAAACTACTTTTCCCAATTAAATATATATTATTAATCAAGAGAGTTGTGTTGGGTAGGCAACTGTAGATTAAATTTACTACTTTGTACCCTTCTTCTTCGCATTTTCTTGGGTTGAAAAATCAAAAGTATGCGGATTCCTTTCACACCGAAATTTCCTGAAGAAAGATGTGAAAACGCAAAAAGCATAATTGCCCTTTTCCCTTTTGCATTGACTCATTGACTAATTTCTGGATCCAATTTGTAGATCTATTGAGTGTTCTGTACTTACAATTCTTGCTTAGTCTTAGCTGCTCTGAGATCATCGCTGCCCAGGTGAGATCGATTAATGGCTTGCTTCTTCTTCTTCTTCTTGCCTTGGTTGGGACGAGATGTGTTCATCAGTTTTTTTAGAGGGGAAAGACACTCGCGGTTCTCGTCAGGCCATCTCTACAAAGAGCATCTCTACAAATCTAGAAACAATCAGAAACACCTTCATTGATGCCATCATTGAAGACCTCAGAAAAAGGCGACCGCCTTTTCGAGCTCCTGACAGCGATTCGAGAGAGTCAAGGATTTCGATTGTAGTGTAGTTTCTCTCAAAACTATGCTTCATCCACATGGTGCTTGAAAGAACTCTCGTGGAAATCTTGGAATGCAACCATTCCAAGAACCAGATTGTATTCCCCATTTTCTACCAAGTCGATCCGTCCAATATTCGTAAAACGTAAACTCGAGGGAAGTTTTGCAGAAGCTTTTGCTAAACATGAAGTCGTTCTTCGTAACGTGACGTGAAGGAGGTGCAGAGCTGGAGGTCCGCTCTTCCCAGAGCCTGCAATTTTTCCGGTTGGGATTCGAAGAATATATAAGTAAGTTCAATTTCTTCACTCACGCGCACTTGCTATTAAAGTATTTTTACTATACAAATATCAAATAACTCGAAAATGTTTATCCGGCTGGAGGTCCTCTCTCTTACAACGGCCACCAGTTTATCCGGCTGGGATTTGCGAAACCATGAATAAATTCTAATTTGTTTTAGTTTCCTGTTAATTTTTGAGATTTTTAATAGCATTTAGGGGCCATTTGATATATATATATATATATATATATTTTTTTTTTTTTTTTTTTGTAGTTTCCATTTTTATAAAACTAACGGATGAAAACATGTGATCTGGCTACAATGGTACAAAATTCTCAGGAAAAAAGGTTGTAAATACCCATTAGATCTAAATGCAAGATCTAACTACTGATATTTGGGACTACGTACTGTATACCATGAAAGAAAAATTGGAAAACTTGTTTAATAACTACTTTCATTGAAACTAAAAACTGAAAACAAAATCTGCAAACTTAAAATCTAGATTTAAAAAAAATTGCAAACGAAATTGTAATCAAAACGACCCATTAAGTATCATTTGGTGTTGTAATTATATTGTGTTTTAAATTTGACAGGGATGATGCAGAGCTTATTGAGAAAATTGTAGAAGATGTTTTTAAGAAATTGATCCACATCTCATCATCATCAACAACAACAACAACAACAAAGCCTTTTCCCACTAAGTGGGGTCGGCGATACATCTCATCATCATCAAGCAAATATAATGGCTTGGTTGAAATGGACTCTCATATGCATAACATGCATTCATTACTGCATCCTCCTGGAGTTGAAACTAATATGATGTTCGCATTGTTGGAATATGGGGGTATGGGTGTGGGTTTAGGCAAAAAACACATCCATCGCTAGAGAGCTGTTTATAATGAAATCTCTGGTGGATTTAAAGCTTGTTGCTTTCTTGAAAATTTCAAGGAAGGTTTCATGAAGCATGGCAAACTACATATGCAGGCAGAACTTCTATCGAGTATCTCGAACAACAGGGTGGGGAGTTCCGACGTTTCGAATAAAGGTTTCCAGGTGATGTTAAATAGTCTAGGTCGGAGAAAAGTTCTTATTGTTGTTGATGATGTGGAAGAATTAGAACATATTGAAGCTTTACTTGGAGAGCCACATTCCTTTGGTGGTGGAAGCAGAATTATTATAACAACCAGAGATTCGCAATTACTAAGCATAGCTGGTGAGATATATAATCCCCAGATTTTGAGTGATTCTGGAGCTCTGGAACTCTTTAGGCGGTACGCCTTCAGAAAAAACCAACCCACCAGAGATTATGATGATCTCTCCCGTCGTGCCGTAAAATATGCTCGAGGTCTGCCTTTAGCACTCAAAGTCTTGGGAGCTTTTCTTTATAACAAAAATGTACGCCAGTGGGAAAATGAGTTAGAAAAAATAAAGAAAATCCCGCAAAAGGGAATTCATGATGTGCTTAAAACAAGCTTCGATGGACTAGATGACATGGAGAAGGATATCTTTCTAGATATTGCATGTTACTTTAAAGGAATGAGAGAAGACTGTGCAACCGAAGTTCTGCACAGCTGTGGTTTCTATCCTGATATTGGAATAAAAGTTCTAATCGATCGAGCTCTAGTAACTGTCTCAACGAAGGGGGAACTGGAGATGCATGATTTACTAGAGGAAATGGGTCAGAAAATCGTCTACCAAGAATCTATCAAAGAGCCTGGGAGACGAAGTAGGTTGTGGAGTTATGAAGATGTTTTTCATGTGATAACTAAAAATACGGTGATAATTTCTTTTCTTATGCAATGTTTAGTAGAAAGCTTCAACTTTTGACCAAAATCAATTTCTTAAGCTCGTTTGATAACCACTTTTGTTTCCATTTTTAATTTTTAATTTTCATTTTTTTAATAATTGAAAATTGAAAATTGAAAACAATTACAAACAAGTTATATGTTTTCAATTTTCAGATTTCTAAATAAATAATCAAAACAAAAGTGAAAAGTGAAAACAAAATTATTATCAAACAACTCCTTAAGAAACAAGCATTAACTTCATAATCTAAACTAAGGTTCTCTGCTTTTTCCTTCCCTTTGATTTGCACAGGGTACAGAAACAGTCGAAAGCATAATCCTCGATTCGTGGAACTCAGATGAGGGATGCTTAATGGTTGAAGCTTTTGATAGGATGACTAAACTAAGACTTCTCAAGATCAGTGCTCACGGCATACAACACCTGACTGGGCCCTTAAAGTTTGTTTCTAGTGAGTTGAGGTGTCTTTCCTGGTCTGGATACCCTCTCAAGTCTTTGCCATCCAACTTTCAATTCGAAAATCTTGTTGGACTTGACATGCAATATAGCCTCATTGACCGACTTTGGGAAGGAACCCAGGTATGTACAATCATTTACATGTATTTGTTTCTTTTAAATGTTTGGGCTTTGAGTGAGATGTCTTATTAAGTAATGCATGTTTTCCTGAATGTTTTAACAGACGCAGGAAAAGTTGAAATTCATCAATTTAAGTCATTGTCATAACCTTGAGATAACCCCTGACTTCACAAATGTGCCAAATCTTGAGAGGCTAATTGTTCAAGGTTGTACACGCTTAGTTGAGGTTCACGGGTCGATTTTGGCTCTTACAAAAATTGTTTTATTGGATCTGAGTTTGTGCGGGCAACTTAAGATTCTACCCAGCAAAGTTTGTATGAGATCTCTCAAAACCTTTGGTCTTTTTGGCTGCCGGAGTCTTGAGATGTTTCCGGAGATTTCAGAAGTGATTGAGGGGTTAGAAAAGCTTGATTTATCCGGGTCAAGAATTAAAGAACTGCCCCTGTCAATTAATAATCTCACGGGGTTGAGTCATTTGAACCTATCAAAATGCATGGAACTTAAGATTCTACCCAGCAAAGTTTGTATGAGATCTCTCAAAACCTTTGATCTTTCTGGCTGCTCCAGTCTTGAGATGTTTCCAGAGATTTCAGAAGTGATTGAGGGGTTAGAAGCGCTTGATTTATCCAGGTCAAAAATTAAAGAACTACCCCTGTCAATTAATAATCTCACGAGGTTGAGTTATTTGGACCTAAACAATTGCAAGGAACTTGAGAGTCTTCCAAGCAGCATTCGTATGAAATCTCTCAAAACCCTTGATCTTTCTGGTTGCTCGAGTCTTGTGATGTTTCCAGAGATTTCAGAAGTTATTGAGGGGTTAGAAGAGCTTGATTTATCTGGGTCAAAAATTAAAGAACTACCCCTGTCAATTAATAATCTCACGGGATTGAGGTGTTTGCTTATGATGAATTGCAAGGAACTTGAGAGTCTTCCAAGCAGCATTTGTCAACTCAAATCCTTTTACCGTCTCTCTCTTTACAATTGTACAAAATTTGAGGTGTTTCCAAGCATTGAAGAAAATATGGAAGGATTAAGAATGCTTTTCTTGGGTGGAACATCTATCAAAGAGCTTTCCCCCTGGATTGAACGCCTTACGGGGCTTCAGGTTTTAAGTCTGATAAATTGCAAAAGACTTGTACACATTCCTGACACTCTATGTAATTTGGCACGCCTTAGCATATACACATAGCTCCGTCCTGGCCCGGGTCCCTCTCCACCCCAACCCCCCAATTTCTAGGTAATCAAAATTCAAACCCTATTTTTGATTTGGAATTAAAATTCGAAATTTGGGAAATTTTATTGTCTGAATAAAGAAATAATTTTCAGGGGTTTTGGGTACTCTGTGCTGATTAAACACATGGATACGAAGCTTTGTTTTGAAGCAATCAATCGGACACTACACCGCGTTGCGGCGGCTTTGGTGGCATTTTCCAAGGAGAGGTACATAACTCCACCGCAGAAACTGTGAAGATACTGGTAATGTCAATTCCCGATGCTAACTTGCTAATGCCACCGGTGTTCCTCCAATTTGGGTGAAAGGTACTTTGTATTTCCATTTATCTTAACATTTCTATATCTGCAAATTGCAGTGGATGAACCTTCTGAATTTGTGCAAATGACTTGCTTTTTTGGTATATGTGGGGTATAATGATGGGATTTTCAATTGCTTGTCGTATCATCAGCTAACTCTGCATTCATCAGTAAAATCATCAGCAAATTGCATGGTTGACACCGTCTTGTCTTTAACTAATACAATGGAGAAGTTACAAATCAAACTGTTAAAAATTTTTCCCAATATGTGGACAGATTACTTAGTACATTTTGCTTTGTGATTGCTTCCCTTTATGTTTTTCCGCCAATCTTTGTCCACCATTTATAGTGATGCCAGTTTTAGTTGCATGCTCACTTAAAATCTGCCAAAAATACACATATGTCTAGATTTTAAATCCCTTTGTGCACCATTTATTCTGCTAACGAGTTTGATTTTTAAGTTAATTTTATTGGAAAAATTTGATCTCGATGTGTGGCAACCCTTTTTCAGGGAAGATGCATGAGATTGTATCGTCTGGAATTAGCAGTCTAAAAGGGCACATCAAGAGGAGGAATAAATAAGAGCCTCAACGATTTCATCTCCCTCTATGGAAGAATGTCCCTTGTACCAGCTGATGCTAAAGCTGTAGACGCTAGAATTGAATGGTTCTGGTAGATATTTCTAGCATCTGTATATATACTGTTTGGAGAAGGACGTTATCGCGATTCAGGGCCGGCCCTGTCCCAGTGCAAACAGTGCACCTGCCCAGGGCCAAAATTGTTTTGGGGCACTTCTTCCTTTGCGAATCGCGACAGCGGTGACCAGAGCCTTTCTTCCAGACCAGTGCCCTTTGGTCGCAGCTTTCCTTATCAGCCTCTTGACCTCCGAAATTGCTGCAGAAATTGCCCAAAACTCGACTGAATTTTACAGAATTGGTCGCTATCGTTCACCGCTGCAGTCCTCTGTGCGCAGCTCATTGAGCTTTCTGGGTACTCTTGCTCCTAGCACACAGTGAGTACTACACTAATATTTCACTAAAAATGCCCATTTATATGTTTAATTGTTAAATTTGTGATTAAAGTGAGTAACTTTGAGATACCCAGATTTTTAAATCCACTGCTGCTTGTTTTCCAGATTCAGACGAAAGATGGGTTACTTACTAGATTTGAGATGGGAAGGACTAATAGTATAGAAGTCGTGTTTGTTAGTGCGATTTCTGTTTGGTTTGAGATGTGGAGGACTATTGAGATTGCTTTGGTGGGGATTGTTCTCCGTAACTGATCCGTGAGTAAAATATTGATTCTCTGGACGCCTGATTAGTGAAAAGCCATACTTTCATAGCTCCTTCCAACATGTGGACAGATTACGTCGTACATTTTGTGTTGTGATTGCTTCCCTTTACGTTTTTCCGCCAATCTTCGTGCACCATTGATAGTGATGCCAGTTTTAGTTGCATGCTCACATAAATCTGCCAAAAATACACATGTCAGGATTTTAAATCCCTTTGTGCGCCATTTATTCTGCTAACTTTCATTTCTTTAAATCGTCTGTTGCAGTCTAAAAGGACACATCAGAGGAGGAATAAATAAAAGCGATAATCGGAAATCTTTTTGTACCAACTAATGCTAAGCTGTTGCTCTAAGATTGAATGGTTCTATAGAATTTCTAGCACCTGATATATACTGTTTGGAGAAGCTTTATCTGGTTCAGGGTCGGCCTTGGCCCTGTGCAAAACAGTCCAGTGCAAACAGGCCGAAATTGTATTGGGCCACTTCTCCTTCGCGAATCGCGACAGTGTGACCCGAGCCTTTTCTTCCAGACCACTGCCCTTCCGTCCCAGCTTTCTTATCAGGCTCTTGGCCTCCGAAATCGCTGCAGAAATCACCCAAAACTCGACTGAATATTACATGAATTGTTTGCTGTCGTTCACTCCTGCCTCTGGTCCTCTTAGTGCGCTGATACATTGACTAAAACGTGAGGTATTCTTTTATAAAGGCCCACTTTTTTCCAGTATTTTCACTTCCAGAATTCAGACTTAAGATTCAGACGAAAGAAGGTACTGATTTACTTGGGAAGATGTGAAAGGAAATGCATCTGGTGGGGATGTGAATGTCCGTTTGTTTAGTAACGCCTGAGTTTAGAGGAAAAAGATAAAGCTTTCTTTCATGTTCCTCCTAATTTTATGGGTCCTCACCTAAGTTGATTATTTCAACTTGAAATGAATTTACTTCAAAAATTTGGTGCCTTCTGAAGTTTTGAAGTTTCAGTTCTGCTGGAATTTCCTTCTTGAAACGAACTATTGGGTAAAGTGATGAACATCCGTGGGAACATTGTAAATGCTTCTAAACTCAATTGAACTTGGTTACTGGTTTCTTTTGATTGAATTGTTGGTCCAATGGGGTGGCTTAAATTCTCCAGAAGAAATCGCTGGTTATTGCTTTTGCTGAATTTCGATGGCATGTATGGGAAGAAGCCATTCGGATCCTGTGCGGTTCAATTGGGGTGCGCAACCACGTCGCGGACCTTGGAGAGCATGAAGCAACTTTAAGACCCTTGGACTGGTGGTGCGACCCCTGGTGCGACCACCGTTCGCTCACACCAACTGTGAAACGGAAGGTTCGTCGGGGTTTTTGGGCTTTTGTGCCTTTGTAGAAGACGAAGGCGCTGGGCCAGTTATTTTTTTTTGAAAAAAGGAATTGGTAAATGACCCAAGGAATTTTTTTTTAAATGGCAAACGCGTCGTTTTGGGCCCAGGTTTAAACAAAAAAAAAAATGCCCAGCGTGTCCTGGGCAGTTTGACAATTAAAAAAACAAAAATACACCAGCCGTGTCTCGACCTCCCCGCCTTAATTCAAAATAAGCAGGAAAGGCTCTTTATTTAATTTTATTTTTTCATGTTCTTTTTGGAATGTAGAGCTTGGTGTTTAAGGAAAACAAGGAAAGCTTCTGCTTCCTATCCCGATTTTGCGATATGCATGCCGTTTTTTGTTAACTGTTTTTTCTTTGCAGAAACAATTGTTCTCCTGTGCAGTGGGTAGGGATTGTGCGTGGGAATGAAACAATGGATTTATGATGTGATGTAGGATTTTGGAAATTGAGTTTGGCAGGAAAGGCTGTTAATCGAAATTGTCTCCTGTTGTGATTTCGACAACAAGCTCGAATTTTGTTGCTGAGAATGACTATAACATCTTCCTTCCGTTTTGTTTACTTTGTTTCGCACCTTTTGTGTTTTACCAAAACAGTACCACCTCTTTACTTCGTGTATCAGTGGTTTCCAAACCCGCTCCCTTTTTGAGCTCCCTAACTAGTTTTTGGATTTTATGTGATGGGCAAAACGTGGTATATTGTAATTCTGATTAGAAATAGTCGTATTTTTTCGACAACATGTGATTCTGAAGTATTTTGCTTGTGTTCACATGGTTTAGTAGGTATTCACTATCTGAATTCTTTATTGCTTTGTTTTTTATGTTTGTTGTTAACAATTCATTTATTTACGGGGAAAATTCCAACCTCTTGGTCATTAAATCCGATAATCCCTAGATTGTTTCTTGGAACATTGTGTTAAAATAGAGAATGGTTACTAATATTTTTTTGACTTTTAAATATTGATCATGAATCAATGAATGTGATATGTTAGCCTTCTTGTGAAAAAATTCAATATTACTTTGTAAAACAAAAAGACTAGATATATTGTTTGTAAAAAGGTTAAAAAAATCAATAATGTAAATTTGGTTTTCGAAAATCTCTGTAATAATTTCATTTTTACTTAATTTTAGATTAATTAATTAAAAAGAAAAGAGTTATTTGATCGGCATTTACGACATTTAAGATGTTTTGAATATGAAAATTAATGAAAAATAAGAGAAATTTAAGCCCAATCAAATTGAGATAATATCATTGCTAAAAAAATAAAATTTTGGCAACTAAACACATTAAAAGATTATTAAAACTATTTTAAAGAGATAAATTTAAAAGCTTTTGAACACCAACAAAGAAATCAATTATTCCCCCTTAGTGTGAATTGTAAAAAAAAAAAAACAATCATCAACTCTTTATTAATGACCCCTTTATTATCTCATTTATATCTTATATTTCTTTTATAGAGAAATTGATCACATTTTTGCTGGGAGGGACTAATTTAATAAAATCAAAAAACCACCATGAATTCAATTTCAAAAATTACTTAAGGCAAAACCCCTCTTACTCAAATTTTTTGTTGAAAGCCGTCCATTGTTTTTAAAAAATATTTTGTTAAAGCAACATCAAAATCACTATTCATTTTTTTCCATTGGCTAGAATATAGATGAGAGTTTTTAATCAAAATTTTTTTATTACGAATTGATAATATACTAAATATTATTAAAGAAGAGAGAAAAAGATTTAAACTAAAACACAATGAGTTAAACCCCATACTGTACCCACCCACAAAAATCTTTTTCTTAGTAAGTATTTAAAAAATGTTTGTAAGGCAAGTAACTCTTCTGAATTGAACTTTTAGGGAATTTCTTATTTCGACCAAATTTCTGAAGAACAAAACCCCAAATTTTAAATCATCAATGTCCTAATCTATGTTTGTTAATTAATACATCCAATTTACAAAGTCAACCGGAATTAATATTAGATCGTGGCGTCTTAGGTGATGAGTGAGATGGTCCAAATGACCCAAAAAAAAAAAAAAATTGGGCCGTTCACCCTCCTCCCTTGACCCCCTCCCTTATCTCCTGTGCACCCACCCTCCATGTCAATCTTCCTTCGCCCAGATCCCGCAGAATCTTCTTCGCCTCGACAAAAAATATAACCCCGCCCTCCCCTCATCCGAACCCGACTCTAAACTTTTTCCCTAACCCTCTCCGATTTGCCACACACCGATTTTCGCTTCCTATTCACCCTCTTGCCATTCAGAGGGATGCACATCTGTTCTTTAATTACAAAGAACATTCAAGCTCAAACTTTAAAATTATTAATCTCGGGTTGTGAGCGAGAAGAAACGATTGGGAGTTGAAGTTTCTTATGAATCGCCAAGAACTTCTCAAATTTCCCAAAACCCCAATTCGAAATTCATGTCAATTTTGTATCTTGATTTGCAATTATTAAGTTTAAAATTCTCAAGCGGAGATCGAATATAACGAACAAGAAATTCGACTCAGAATTTCATTTCTTTAAATTGATCAAACCAAAAAGCAATCCAAAAATTGCTCAGTTTCTAACCTCTAAACCACACTGCTTTCCATTTCTTGCATTTGTGTCATCTCTTTTTCAGAATCTAAGCATCTTTGTGGGTCGGGCTCGGGTTCAATAGTGGCGCGAAAATCGGACAAGAAGTGGGCAAATTGGGAGAGGGTGAATTGGAACTGGAAGTGGGTAGGAGTCGGGTTCGGAGGAGGGGAAGGCGGAGATGGAGATGGTGGCTGAGTTGTCGGCGACGAAGAAGATTCTTGCGGGATCTGGGCAAAGAAGAAGATGACGACGTGGGGATGGGTTGCAGACGTGGGGAGGGTGGGTGCAGAGGAGAGAAGGGAGGGGGTCGAGGGAGGAGGGGTTGAACGGCCCATTAATTTTTTTTTTTTAATTTTTTAATATCCACATGGACCCATAATGATACGTGTCGTCCAGTCAATATCCACCTAGACGCCACGTCACTATTTAACGGTTGATTTAACAGCAACCTTAACGGATGTATTAGACTGTCTCAAAATTATGACTTTATGTACCACTCTGAGATGAAAAAAACTTTATGTACTAAATGTTGAAAACTAAGAAACTTAAACAAAATTAACCCTAAATTTTAAATATGACATAGTACTCGAATCGAAGGACACCAGGTCCACTAAAAAGAAGAATCAGCCACTTCCCTCCATTTTTTTTTGGCCGGTCACTCGCTCTCTCTCTCTCTCTCCTAATCCTAGAGTTCGGTAGTTGACAAGTGTTCTGCACATGTTCGGTGCTTCAAGATTTACATTTGTTTTGTCTCCACTTGCACCATCGCCATTTCTCAGAGAGCCGCCTTCTCTGCTTGTCTGGAATTTACCAGTGAAAGAAACCTCAAGAGAAACAGAAAGCTCTGCCTTCTGGTTTGAGAGAGAGAGAGAGAGAGATGCTCTGCTCCGGCAGACTTTTGGCCGTTTCTTTCCCCGTAAATCGGTGCGGTCCGTACAAACTGCATAGCTTCCGCTGCTCCAAATTCAGCTACGCAAGAAGCCCCATATCAACAAGCAGCTCCAGATGGCGATCCCTGGCCATGGCTTCGGAGCCCGACTCCTCCTCGTTCGCTCCGTCTGTCGATTCTGATCCTAAACCCGCCGCCGATACAAACCCCGCCGGGTACTCCCCCCTCTCTCTCTAGGAAAATAACAGAAAATGGAAATTTAAAGTTCCAAGCTTTGGATTGTTACTTTGCACAGTGAAATTTATGAGATTGCAGAGAGCTTACTGGTCTCTGAAGGTTTGTAACTTCATGTGAAAAACTCATGTGATTTATCTGCTGTTGATGTTAATTAACCCAAAAATGATACGGAAATTGCTTTGTAGCCTGTAAG